CACCCACCCACCCACCCACCCAGGGCTCTCTCCACCCTTCCTGATAGCACAGTTGTAATGCCGGACGACCGCTACGCCCCCCCCAAGTAGGCGTCGGCTCTCCCTGCCACTCCCCCACTCCGCGTCCGCAGCGACACTCGCGCAGCTGTGAACAGGACGCCGTCGCGAGAGTGCTGCTGGCAGGCTTCGAGCGGGCGCGGAATAGACAGGGAGAGAGAGGCGAGACATGATACTGTCTCGACACGGACCGTTTCCTCCGCGGCCCCACTTGCCGCCTAGGCGCTGTCGGTGCCGCCGCGCACGTTGCTGCAGATGTTTGAGGACGGCGCTGGCGACTTTGGCACGATCCGCTTGCTCCACTACCCGGGCGACGGTGGAGGGCGGGCGCGCCCGGCCGTCGCGTCGTTCGCGTGGGCCTAGTTCACAGCTGGTGGTGTGAACAGGGCTGGCAGCGCGCTTGCGGACACAACCGGCATCGGGCCGCATACAGACTTTGAGTGCTTCACGCTGATGCACCAGAATGCACCTGGGTTGCAGCTGATGCCGCGGCAGCGCGGCGGCGGCGGGCATGGCGGGTGGGTGGACGCGCCGGTCCGGCCGGGCGAGTTTGTCGTCACGGTCGGCGACATGCTCGAGCGCCTCACGAATGGCGTGCTGCTTGCGACGCCGCACCGGGTGCTACCAACGCACCACGCACGCGATTCAATCATCCGCTTCAATGCGTTCGCGCCGCACACGCTCGTGGCGCCGCTGCGACCCTTCGTGACGGCCGACCGGCCCGCGGCCTATTCGCCGGTCGAGATGCGTGAGCATATGGAGACCACAATGCGGAACCTCGAGGCTGGGCTCGGCTCGTGGGACACGGAGCGGCAGCGCAGCCGCAGCGCGTCGTACGAGTACAACGGCGGCGAGCGGAGGGTGCTCGAGTGCGAGCCGAATACGATGTCGCAGTAGGAGACGCGGTTGCCTGGGAGACAGTATCATGAACTCAAGGTCCACCGCCATGGATGTGACGACCCCGGCGTCCCGCTCGAAGGAGCCTTCCTGCTCGAACTCCGGGCGCTCTTTCGCGCTCTCACGCCATTCCTTCAACAGCAGGAGAGCGAGCCATGATGCTCCAGATGGCCAGCAGATGGCCGAGCTTACCCGCGAGTACAGGCTGGTGCCTCTAGCCACCAAAGGAACCGAGCGGAGGGTGCTCAGGCTTGTGGATCGCGGCGCCCCGGCACCGCGCTTTAGAGAGCGCTTCTCTCACACGCTATCGTAGAGAGAGAGCCGCGACCCGCGTGCGAGCCACACTTGGCCACACACTGCGACGCGGCCGCGCGTGAGCGCGGGGGGGGGGGCACCGCAGCCATGGGCGTGTGTGCTTGTGCACGGTACACACTAGCTCTATAGAGAACAACTCCCGCGTCTCCCGGTTGGTTTCGCGTGCCCCGTAAAAAACACACTAGTGAGGAGCGTGTGGCAGCGCGGCCCCGCGCAGGCGCAGAGCCGTGGCGGTGCGAAGCATCGTACAGTGAGACCCACAAGAGTCGCTGTCCCCTTAAGCCGTGGCGCGCGTGGGCTTCGCGCGACGTACGCACGAGAAACACGTGACCGCCTCGTGCCTTGCGGGGGGAGCGGAAAGGAGGAACCTCTCCCCAAAAGCGCGAACTGCCCTGTGTGGGGGGCTACGGGCTGCAGGCTGCGCGCAGCTGCTGCAAGTTGGCGGAGACGCGCGCAAAGTCCGGTGTCGGCTCGGCGGGCGACGTGGCGAACGACGACGCGGCGGGCGACGAGCTGCCGTGCTGCGGCGGCGAGGGTGCGAGGGAGCCTGCGGAGCGCCTCGAGGGGGTCTGGCGGCGGCGGCTGCTGATGCAGCGACTGGTGTGGCAAAGGCGGGGGGGGGTCGCGGCGCTCGCCGCCGCCGCTGCCGCCGCCGCCGCCGCCGCCGCCGCCGCCGCCGCCGCCGCCGCCGCCGCCGCTAGCCTCCGCCACCGCTGCGGCGGGGGGGGCTCGACCCTGCGCTGTGCCGAGCCTACGTGCTGAATACGCCAACTTCAGGGCACGAATACGGTATTCTTTGTGCAGTGTGTTCAGAGCACCGCGTGAATACAACGGAGAGGGAGACAGTGAATACAGCGGAATGCGGATGAAGACAGCTGAACACGTGGCCCTCTCGGGCGCTAGGTGGGATACACGCACACGTACTCCGCTTCCAGGGTGCCGTACAGCGAGACATGGGGAGAGATGGGGAGAGATGGGGAGATTGATTCTAGGGTTCCGCGCATGGCAGCGAGGCGGTGGATGCGGTGCGACAGCGGCGGCGCGTCCTCGCTCTCCAAAGGCGGCGGCAGCGGCAGCGGAACGCTCGCTCGCGGGCCTGGCGGGCTGCCGCAGCAAGCGACGCGCGCCGTCCGCATCCGCGCCGTCAGGCTCGCGACGCCGTCGAGCATCCTCCTCCCATCCAAAGCGGCATGTCCAGCAAGCTCCCGCCGCCCGCCCACAGTGTCTCGATCAACACCCGCCTCTGCCTTGACCGCCGCCGCCGCCTCCGCCTCCGCCGCCACCGCCGCCGCCACCGCCGCCTCCGCCTCCGCCGCCTCCGCCTCCGCCGCCTCCGCCTCCGCCTCCGACGCCTGTTCCACCACCACCTCCGCCGCCTCCTCGCCGAAGTCTTCGCCGAAGTCTTCGCCGAATGTGTCGCACGCGACCCGGCACTGCGCCCGCCCGCCCTTCCTGCAGGCGCCGCCCCGCCACGCGGGCGATAAGCCGTGGCGCGACGAGAAGAGCACCTCGATGTCGCCCTCGCCCGCATCCTCGCCCACCCCCTCCTGGCAGCCGGACTGCGTTCCAGGCTGTCCGGCTCCAGCGAGATGTCCCACTCCAGGCTGCCGTCCAAGCTGCCCGCCCCCCGGCCCGTCGCTCCGCACCGGCGCGCCCTCGAGAAGCGTCTCCAGCCGCCGAATGGCCGACTGTTGCGCGCTGATGAGCGCGTCTCGCGCCCGCATCTCCGCCGCCTGCTCGCGCAGCTGCCGCCGCAACGCTCCCGCTTCGGCGTGCGCGCTGGCCAGCGCCTCGGCGGCGCGCGGCGTGAGATCCTCCGCGAGCGCGCGCGGCTCGACGCGGCCCGCGTCGGCGGCCTCGGAGCTCGCCCGTCCCTCCCTCCCTCCCTCCGCCCTCCCTCCGCACTCCC